AATTGTTACGAATTTTACTTCTAGAAAAATTTAATCTAAATTAAATTATTCAAGGAAATGTTAAATAATTATCAACTGTTCATATTAATCAAATCAATATACAGTTTAATTATTACGATTTTTCCATCCAAAAAAATTTAATGTAAATTAAATTAATCAAAGAAAAATGGGTATTCATTGATATGCATCATATTCATAGTATCGCGAGCGATGTTACAAATGAATCTATATGTCATGATATCAAAAACGATAATATTTCAAATAATAATTTAAAGTATTCATAAAATGACACAAGAATTAAATTTAAAATTAATTGGACCCAAACCCAATATTTAATCTAAATTTTTAGCCTAAAAAATCTTCAATGATCCAACAGTAGCAATCCAAATAGTAATGCCTGTAAAAATTAATTAGTTTCAAAACCCCAACCCCCCAGGATTTTATTTGGCACACATAAGTGAACCTAATTCCAAGATCGATTCAAATCTATGCAACACACGTAATTCGAATTTATGCGTACAAAAATCTGATGCCACTTGCTTGCGTGTAGGAGGCAAAATTTCTGCTTGGAATTCTGCTTGCCACGCAAGCAGGTTTTTCCTACCTGCCTACGTTAGCAGGCAGAAATACTGCCGACATCTGGCGGATAGTTCGCAGACAATTTTGTTTGCTGCCATGCATGCTGGTTTTTCTGCTTGCTTCAAAAGGCTGTTTTCCACAAAGGTGGACTGTTGCCGCACAGACAAAGTGTTCGCACATGAAATTAAAATTTTCAATTGCTATAATTTCTTGTTCTTTCTCATCACATCTTCTAAGTCTTCAATCTTCAATCAATTTACAAGATTCAACAATTATAAGACTTAAAGATTGCATAAATCCTATGTCCCGTAACCTCACAATTTTAAATCTAATTGAAAGAAAAAAATTAAATCAAGATGATTGAATTGTAATCCACCTATCTTGTTACAATCTCGATATATCAAATTACAATCAAGAATTGGTCATAATTAATTGGATCATAGTTCAAAATAAGCAAGTGAAAGATCTAGATTGCTCTGATACCAGTTGTTGGAATACGGAAACGAAATTATCCAGAAATTTAAAAATTCTTTAATTCATTGGACAAGATCGCCTAAATGTTCACGTGTATATTATATTAAAAATAAAATATTAGAATTTGTACCTAAATTCTTTTTTCTATTCTTGAATTAACTCTAAATAACGAACTTCTAGTTTTTTGGATTACGAGGTTTTAGCTTTTTTAGCTCCAAGAACTTGATGTTCCGAATCTTCTATGGTATTCTCTAAAGTCAAGACTACATCGGTGGGTGAGCACATTCTTTCAATTAAAACAAGAAACTAATTCTTGAACTGGATAAATGAAAAATAGGTAAATCATTATTTTATCTCCCCTTCTCTCTTCAAGTTTGAACACCATAGAATTATGTATTATGATTGTTTTAGGATTTCTATGTCTACCTAGTCTCTATTTATAGAGATAAAGATGTTCCAATCCATATACTTTAAGGATTCCACATTCAAATAAAAGTCTTAATTAAAATCCAAATATAAATTTTAATCAAAGTCCAAATCCAATTAGTTTAAATTTAATTACATGTGTAGTTCTAGAACTTCAATTACAACTATAATTAAGTTTACAACTTTTATAGTAATTACAATTAATCCCAAAACTATTATAATTACCATAATTAAGTTCAAATACTTTATAGTGCTACCATAAGGACATGATTGGACATATATTATTCAAACTCCAATAATTAGATCATATCTAGTCGACTCTAGATCAACCAATTTTATTTGTTAGTCTTTGTTTTTCCCACTATAGGCAAAAGGCTGAACTCTCGAAATATTTAAGATTACAGAAACTAATGAATCTCTAATACTTTCATCTCTTACCTATACTATATATGTATTTTATCATCGTTTGAGATTCAATAATTATGTACGAGTATAAATGATCATTTTGTCCTTCTAATTATTCTCACTAACTTAGGTCTCATTTTCTTCAACGGTCCTATGAATTAATCACAAATGGCAAAGTTTAGCCGTTGTTAAACATTGAGATCAGGTTTTAACCGTTCAACATAAAATAATTAAATAGTCACTCTACCCAATTTTCAAGGCGATGGTTCCTGACACGAATTCATATTCTTTACATTGCTCATTCTCAACCTTCCAACTCATCGAAATATTTAACCAATTAAATTGATCTCATCCATTGGTAAATCAAAGAACTATTAAAATCATGAAAAAATATACATAACACAATCAATGGATTTAGATGAAATATACGGAGATCAAGTAAAATTTAATTCTCCGCACGATCGTGCTTTAAAATTAAACTCGACACACAATCCGTTCAATATACTTCAAGCGTACTTGTATCACATTTACCTACTTATTTAATAAGGACAAATCACAAATCCGAATAGTGAATCTGCTATAACCTTCCAATACAAAACCCTTATATATAGGTGTGAACAAATTATTTATGATCAAAATATAAGTTGTATCACACCGTAATTCTCAATACAAGGATCCAACTTATATTCTCAAAAGTGATCACATGTACTTCAATTCGCATGCTCAATAATAAATAAATACAATAAACTAAATAAACAAAATGTCATATAACACAACAAATTTCTCACATGCTGTAGAATATGAGTCATATTTTTTAACCCTATACTTTGTATAGAGGTGTCAAGATGGACGGGCCGGCTAAACCCGTGAAAATCGGCCCGGATCGACCAGGGACCACGGGCCGACCCGTGACCCGAGCTGTCGGTTCACGGGTCAATGAGGTGTGACCCGCTGGTTTCGTAGGTTGCACCTTCACTGCGGCCCGTGAAAAAAAAAATTTAAAAATTTGAAAAAAAAAGGGGAGAGCCCCAGCTAGTTGGGATGTACTTGAATTATAAATTATAATAAAAGTATGTGCCAACCTAGTTGGGATGTATTTATACTATAAATATTTGATAATAGTAATTAGAAATGCATTTAGTTGTTATTTTTTAAAGTTAAATTTAACTTTGTAAAGTTATAAATAATTAATGTAACATTAAATTTGAATTCTATGTAAACATTTGTTGGTATAAATAAGAATTTATCATTTTGTTCAATTCTTAGTTTACATTTAACAAAAAAAATATTTTTTGTTATAAATATGAAAAATTCTATATTTTTATAATTTTATTTATACAATAATACTGGCCAAATCGGAACAAATCGCG